CACTGCACCATGTTCCACAGGGGAAATGCTCAGGTGACTTCTGGGGTGTTCTGATCATCAGAGCACAGGCTTCCTGGATGCAAGAGTTCATGCTTTCATGGACCCAGGGGTCTCCAGAACAAAAGACGCTTCTGTGAAGATTGTGATTCGTTGGGGAAGCAAAGGTTTCAGTGTTGGAATAGCCCACTGCAATCTTTTTTTTTTATTTTTCCATTCAAAACTTTATACTTCCTCCCCTTCTCCCATTCCCCTCCTGCCTCACTGCAATCTTGAAAATAAGTTTACCTAGATGTGTTTGCTACTCATGCCCATCAAACGGTAGCGTACATGTGTAGGAATGTATCTAAGACCAGAGATTCTATAAGAGGAAGATGACAATTTCCTCTTCTAGGGTCTTTATCCCAAACCCCTGCTTTTACTGACATGTCATTGTGTGGTCTTTGTGCCCTTTCTTGAGCTAGATCCATTGGCTAATTCTCATAAATCATGTGTTTAGTTACTTTTCTATTGCAGTGATATAACATCATGAGCCAAGACAACTTAGAAAAGAAAGTATTTAATTGTGCTTACAGTTTCAAAGGGTTACAGTCCATGGAAGCAGAGACAGGTGAATCTCTGAGTTTGAGGCCAGGTTGGTCAACACTGGGAGTTCCAGAACAGCCAAAGCTGCAAAGAGAAACCCTATCTGGAAAAAAAAAACCCAAAAATTCAATATAATATTCTTTTGGTTTATGTTTTGTTCTTTTCTATATTATATAAACATTTTACAAGAAGCATGAATCATTTTTCTAATAAGAGCTACTAAAATGTTTAAAAAGTATTGATCTCATGAGTAAGGAGAAAGCTGAGATTCAGGGAAGTTGACAAACCAACTCAATAAAGCCACAGCCTCCAAGTCCAAGAACAAATGTGGCCCCATCCCTCAGGTTTAGTGCCAGCCATTCAAGTCCTGTCTCCAATTGGATGCAGTACTGGATAGAAATATGGTAGCAGGGACCCGGGGGAGTTAGGAATCAATTTTAGGTCAGAGGGGACTCACATGCCTCTAATATTTTGTGGATCCCCTATTATCTCTTCAAAGCAATTAAACTATGACCGCAACAGCATTACTGGGCTCCTATTATACACTATGTTCCTGTGGTCTGGCAGTTGCCCAAGTATTAAAGAAGCAGACACAAGTCTGGGGACAGAGTTAAGCTGGCCTTTTATTTCTAGTCCTAGCCCGTCTCACAGCCGACCAGGGAAATGCTGTTTTCAGTCACTTTCTACACAGGAGGAAGAAGGAAGCGTATGCTGGTTGGGTGTGGCCCAGAAGCTTGGTTTACAGAGGTTCTGGGGAGTAACAGAACTAGTGGATGCCAGGAGGAAGTCCTGAATCTGTCTTCCTTCATCATCTGCCTCTTCTCATCCTTTTATAACCTCCCATATTCATCCTTTCTCCTAACTGTCCCGCGGGTTTCCCTGTGGTCCTCCCTTTGATCTTAGTGCTGGGACGTCACCAAGCTCAGTTCAGCAGTTAGGGTAGGGACCGGAGCTCACAAGGTCTAGTGTGTTTCTAGAACACGAATTTAAATTTAAACGGTGAAAAATAAAGGATGTAATGGAATATTAACAGTCTCTCATACATCATAGAAAACACAAGGGGGTCATCACAAGCCGTTGAGCAAGGCATTTGTTTTGCTTTGTTGTTTTGAGACAAATCTTATGTAACTTAGGCTGACTCTATCTTGGTATGTCTCCAGGGCTGACTTTGAATTCCTTTATAAAAAAATGTTTTTAAGTGATTTCATGTGTGTCTCATGTGCGTGAATGTGCACTTTTGTATGTGTATGTACAGGGGCACACGCGCCATGGAGCATGTGTGAGGGCTAGAGGGCAGGCTTTGAGTTTGAGGGAGGAGCTCTTGGCAGCTCCATAAATTGGAGTAGCTAGCGGTCAAGCTCCTGGAGGCTCTCCTGTCTCTACTTCCTGTTTCTGATGGGGCCTCTGGGGTTACAGAGGGCAGTTAGTTACAGATAGAGACCCAAACACAGATCGTTAGGCTTATATGCAACAGGGCAGTGCTTTTGCTTGTTTAGGGTTTTGTTTTATGTGTGTATGTGTGTTTCTTTTTCCTTTTTTGGGGGGGAGGGTGGGTTCAAGACAGGGTTTCTTTGTAGTTTTGGAGCCTGTCCTGGAACTAGCTCTTGTAGACCAGGCTGGCCTCGAACTCACAGAGATCCGCCTGCCTCTGCCTCCCGAGTGCTGGGATTAAAGGCATGCACCGCTACCACCCAGCTATTTTTTTTCTTCTTCCTCACTGAGCTGTCTCCCCAGTTCTGGCCTTGAACTCTTCATCACCCTGCCTCCACCTCCCAAGTGCTAGGCTTCCAAGCATGCACCACTACACCATATTTTCCATTTTTTGAGACAGGACCTCACTCTGCATACAAGGATTGCCTCAAACCAAAGGTGATCCTCTTGTCTCCTCTCCCCAAAAGTTGGGGTTACAGGAGGGTACCCCACAGGGTAACAGTTTCCTTTTTAGGCTATGCTCTAAACACATATCCATTGCAAAAGACACTCCCCACTGGTGCCCTTCTGCTGAGCCACTGGAAACCCCGTGTTTCACCCTGCCTAACCCCAGACTTCCTCCTCTTCCAGAAGGAAGTCATAGATCTATATATTTGACATCACTGCACAGACCTATAAAGAAGGGGGAAAATCCTACCAAAGAAGTTACTATGATTCCCATACCTGTACCTTGACCTAAGATGTGAGCCAGAAAGAGGAAGAGTAGTATTTTAAGGGAAAGGGGATGTATTGATGTTCAAATGCTGGTCAACTCAGAGCACAAACTAGATAGTTTACTCGGCAAATAAAGTGTATTAAAGAACGAAGCCTGAGCCAGGCGGTGGTGGCACACACCTTTAATCCCAGCACTCGGGAGGCAGAGGCAGGCAGATCTCAGTGAGTTCGAGGTCAGCCTGAGCTACAGAGCAGATACTAGGACAGCTAGGGCTACACAGAGAAACCCTGTCTTAAGAAGAAGAGGAGGAAGAGGAGGAGGAGGAGGAGGAGGAGGAGGAGGAGGAGGAGGAGGAGGAGAAGGAGAAGGAGAAGAAGAAGAAGAAGAAGAAGAAGAAGAAGAAGAAGAAGAAGAAGAAGAAGAAGAAGAAGAAAGCCTGGCTGAGGAATGAACCCTATGGTATAGGACACTAATAACCACAGACCCTCCTCTGCACAGAAGGTGAGAATTTGCAGCTGGGTTAAGTTACCAGACATCTTGTGCTGCTCTTGTTCTCCCTTCTGTAATGCATAGGTGTAAATCCTCGTTACCTGTGGGATCTAAATCTTTGGCAAAATGTATAGTATATTAATAGATGTTGAATAGAAGTTTTTAGAACCTAGTCCTTAAAACAGCACAACCTTAAGCAAGAGAGGACAGTAAAGGCATATTTATAAATCAATTAGCATCGAAGCTAATGGGCTGTCTCCGGTGAACTAGTTTCCCAAGAAGACAGACTCTGTGGGATCATCAGCCTCCCAGGATCATGTGGCTTTTCCTTAAAGTGGCTAAGATCTACCAGGGCCAGGACAGGGAGGATAACAAGAGCAGAGCTGGGTTTTACCCTACTTTCTATGATGCAATCCACATATCTTGGCGCCCCAGGCCAGCCTGCTCTCAACCAGCTCCCAGGGGAAGTATCTCTGGACTCCGATCTGCAAAAAATATTTTCCCATTCAACCTCATCCCAGGACCTAGTAGGGCTGGTGATCTGGACTTGGACAAGATGTCGTGATAGGAATTCTTAGCCTATTAATGTTGCCAAGTCCCAAGATACCTTTCTGTGATCGCTATGTCTGGCTGAAATTTCCCTTTGAACTGATACGGTAGAGCTGGGACAAGCACACGGTGTCCCCTGAGGGCGAGAATGGCTTAGACAGCAGCATGAAAGCTTTTAGTTGAGAAGCCTTGACATAGCCATGCTCTCCTTAACAATACTCCTTTGTCCCTCCTCAGCCGGTTGAGCTCCCCATATCCTGGCAAAGGGAGGCACCGAGGGGAGGGAGGGGATCGGCTTAGAGATTGGTTTTTAATCTCCAGGGCAGAAATTCTGTTCAACACGGCCAGTGCCTGGATTGGCTGGATCAGAAAGGGCGGCAGCAGAATAGGGGTGGAAGTGTGTGTGTGCGTGTGTGTGTGTTTGTGTGTGTGTGTTTGTATGTGTGTGTGTGTGTAGAGTTCTCTTCCATGCTTCCTGTGTGTTCTAGTCAACTCTCTCTTCCCAAAGTGTGCAGCCTTCCCAGTTAAACCCACACGTAGGTATCTGAAGTGATGTGGTTTCAATGTGTGTCCCTATTCTTGTTTCACATGGTCTCTTTTTATATCGTATTTTCTTTGTTTGAGACCAGGTTATATTAGAGGCTGGCCTCAGATTTGCTCCATAGCCAAGGACAACCTTGAATTTTCCCTCTTGCCCCCACCTCCCTGTACTGTGAAGAGACTGGGACTTCACAGGCTGAGGTTACAGGCATGTCCCACCACTCCTAGTTCATGGCGTGCTGGGGGTCAAATCCAGGACATTGTACATGCTAGGCCAGCACACCACAAACTGAGCTACACCTCCAGCCGTCCGCTTTTGTCTCTTTAGCCTTGTACTCCCTTCATTTACTGCTGGCCTTTTGCACTAGTTTTCAGGGTTGTGACTGATGTTTCATTGTTAACATTTTTTTTAACTTTCTTTTTATTTATTCTTTCTGTCTTTCACATCCTGCGTCTCAATCCCATTCTTTTCCCCATCCCTTCATATCTGCCCTCTGCCATGGCCTCCCCCCAAAATAAAATAAAATTTAAGAGGAAAATAAAAAGGAAAAATCATCTCATCAAGGAAGCTGTAGGGTGACCCAGTGAGTCACACAGTAAACCCTTTTGTCCATATCTCTTTACTTGCAAGTGTTCATTGCAGAGACGTGATCACTGGTCTGTTTCCAGGCCTCTGGGTTCTGCTGGGCCTTCACTGGAACACCTCTTGGATATCCTGTTGTTGCCCTGTGTCCTGGAGATCGGGTCAGGCCCTTTCGTGTGCTCCAGCAGATCACAGACGGGGTGAGTGTTGGGGTGGGCCAACTCATAACCCTGGTTCTGGGCCTGGGTAGTTTCAGGGCTGGGGAGCCCACCAGCTCTCCCCTATCCTCTCCACTAGGGTGAACTCTCCAGCATTACCCTGGCTAGTTCATGCCTTGCAAAGCCGAGCAAGGGCGGGGCTAGTTCTCCTGCTTTCCTGTCCTCAAGGTAGGCTCTTCCACACTTACTTCATCAGGCCAGCGCTACGGTGTTGCTCCCTACAAGGGCCACTCTCCTGAGCCCTGCAGCTGGGGAGGGGCAGGGACAGCTTTCCCACTCTTAGGACCTCAGGGCCAGCTCTCCCACCTGCCACAGGTGACAAGGGGCCCACACAACCTCCTGGCAGATGAGGGGTGGGGCCGGATCTGATCAACTCTAGTGTGCTGCCCAGGCAAGGTGCAGGGCTCGCTTTCCTGAGTGCAGCAGCTGGAAAGGGGGAGGGTCGACTTCCTTGCCCACCACAAGTTGTAGGGGCCAGGGGGTTGAGGGGTGGGGGTGGGGGAATGTATCTCTCCCTCACCACCTCCGCCGCCACTGCCACCACCACCACCACCACCACCACCACCACGACGTAGCAAATGAGAGGGGGAGTGGTCAGTGATCCCACTCTCACAGGCTCAGGGCCAGCTCACTCTTGCCTCTGCCACCACGGTCAGCTCTACCGTGCTGCCCAGGTGAGGAGCAAGGCCTGCTCTCCCAAGTGCTGCAGCTGGCGAGGCCAGGGTCAGCTCTCCTGCTCCTATGACCTCAGGGCCAGCTCTCCCACTTGCCTCAGGCACAGAGGGGGGCAGGAGGGGAGGGCATCTCTCCCCCACCCATGCCACCATATAGCAGACGGGAATGGGGCCAGATCTCTCATGCTCACGTTTTCGGGCAGGCTCACCCCTGCCCCCATCCACAGGGTCAGCTTGGCTGTGCTGCCCAGATGATGGGCAGGGCTCATTTTCCTGCATGCTGCAGCTGGTAAAAGGGAGGGATGCTCACTCGCCAGTTGGAGTTGTAGAGGTGAGGGGCAGGATATTTTTCCCTGGCTCCCACTACCACACTTCAGATGAGGGAGATGGTACCAGCTATGGCCCTGTCATAGCCTCAGGGCTGGCTTACTGTGCCCTGTCTACAGGGTCAACTCTACCGTGGTTCCCAGGCAAGGTGCAGGGCCCATTCTCCCAAGTGCTGTAGCTGGTAAGGGGTTGGTTCAGGTCCCTCACCTTCTGCAGGTGGAGAGAAGTGACCTATTCTATTGCTGTGAAAAGACACCACGACCAAGGCAGCCTGTGAAAGAAAACATTTAATTGGGGCTTGTTTACAGCTTAAGGTGAGTCCATGATCATCGCGGAGGAGAACATGGCTGCAGGCAGGCCCCGCACTGAAGCAGTAGCTGAGAGCTTGCATCCTGATCCGAAGGCAGGAGGCAGAGAGAGGCTTTTGAAAACCCAGAGCCCACCTCCAGTTGATGGAGGAAGGTCATTGGCTAATAAAGGAACTGCCCTGGCCCATTTTATTGGTTAGAGGATAGGTGGGAGGAGAAAACAGGACAGAACACTGGGAGGAAGAGGAAGTGAGGTCAGAGTCTCGACAGCTTTCCTCTCAGGAGCAGACACCTGAGAGAGACGCCATGCCCCGCTCCCGGCATGAAGCTCCGACCCAGGATGGACTAGGCTAGAATCTTCCCGGTAAGACCGGTTCTCACAGATTATTAGAGATGGGTTGATCGGGATAACAGGATTAGCCAGTAAGGGCTAGGGCTAAAGGGCCAAGCAGTGATTAAAAGAATACAGTGTCTGTGTAATTATTTTGGGCATAAGCTAGCCTGGCAGGCGGCCGGGGGAGCTGAGAACGCAGCCCTGCCGCCCCTATTACTTCATATGGCGCCTACGTGGACAACTGCTTCCACATAAAGCCTGAGACAGCTTGGGAAGTAATTCTAGAACAAAATGAAAGCATTGTGCCTGGTTTCTTGGTAGCAGCATTTTCTCAGTTCTACTCTGCTTGCTAGAGGCAAGCAAGCGCCTCATCTAAGAGAGGCTTCCTGACTCAGCTTTAGCTGCAAAGGCTGCAGCTCATTAAGAGGTCCTGCCACGAAACACTTAAACGGTGTTGACGAAAAGCTGATCACATGCTTTTTGGTTTTCAGCCATAGCAGGAAAAAAGCTGCGCCATTTAAAAATGCCGGCTTTCTGGGCTGTCCTGCCAGGACAAACTCTGACTCTTTTACGCAGGCAGTTTGTGCGGTTTGCAAGCACAGGCTGTTGAAGCTCGCTTGCTGGCTACAGCCAGTACCTCAGCCATGAGGCTGGAAAGCTAAGGAATGGGCCAGATCCAGCTGGCAAAGCCACGCCTTTAATCCTACTGATATTGCTTGGTAAATTAAAGATTCATGTGGTAGAAAAAGAGAGATATACAGTAAAGAGAGATTCAAAGACAAAGAAAATTTTTAAATGGTTTACAGTGTGTTAAAAATATATGCAGACTAAAAGTTGTAGTTCTTAAAGTAAAAAACAAAAAAAGAAAGAGAGTTGTGTGTGGTAGCACACGCCTTTAATCCCAGTGCCTAGAAGGCAGAGGCAAACAGACCTCTGTGAGTTCAAGGTGTATTAGCTTACACCTTTAATCCCAATGCCTGGGAGGCAGAGACAGGCGGATCTCTGAGAGTTCAAAGACAGCCTGGTCTACAGAGTTACTTCAGGTCAAAGACACAGAGAACCTGTCTCAAAAAGCAAAGAGTTAAAAGTAAAAATAAACGAAATCGAGGTTAAAACAAAGCTGTACAAAGATGGAAAATACACAGAAAATTTTGATACTGTATGCTATTATGCTCTCTTTAAATTATTTAAATGCTGAGGAAGGAGCAACAGATGCTAAAAGATATTTGTTTATAAATGCTGCTGAACTAATCCAACATAGATACTTTGAAAATGCCTTAAATTTGAAATTTGGATCTAAGGACATGATACTTTGGAAAGGAGTTTCTTATTTTGTTTTCACAGAGGATGAGACACTGTTCATTTCTTCTATTCCGATTTGGTATGATGGACCACGCCCTCCTGAAGGGTTGCAGTGAACATCTTCAGAAAATTGCTTCGCTCAACTGCCAACTGAGATGAAACTAGCACACAGGTTATACCATGAAAGACCTAATTAACGACGCCCCCATTCAGCAGAAAGCAGTTTGGAGAGAAAAAACTGCGCCCATGTTCCCAAATATGGTTTATAAACGTTCTTTTACATTTAAAGGGGGATATGATATAGATATGAATAATTTGCATTAGTATAGATTTTGCTTTATTGATAGAGATTTAAGGTCAATTTTGTTATATGTATAAGTGTTTCTGATTTTGATTAAGGTATTGTGATTGTGTAGTTCATTTAAATATGTACTGTATAATTAAGAAATATAGGTTGTTAATGGATAATCATCGATAATAGTAAAGCTTGTAGTCATGTTAATTAGATTTTTAGATATATAGAGATATATTTTCGATAGACATTCTTCATGTCTTTCAAAGATTACAGAATAGGACTTTTCATGACAATGAGACACTCTGCTCCTGGCAGCACCAATCTACTTCAAGAGGAAGATGGGCATCGAAGAGGCTCGTTATGGAGTTTTGATAGCCATTTGGGCAAGAAACTGCTCTTGCCTGGACTATTGCATAAACTGGACACAGAACCCACAGAGAGAGGACTATTGAACTTGCCTAAGGTGAGATGATCTTTCAGGGTTCCTGATTCATGAAAGAGTCTGCGAGACATTCTGCAGGACACAACAGATAGTGACTGAACTGACTTTGAATTTTCCTGCTTTATGGAAATGTCTGCTGGATACCATGGGCCTGAAGGCTGAAGATGGATGCCCCAACGGTACAGAGGAACTTTGGGTGACTGTCCAGGCAGCGAGATGTCTCTGTCATTTCTAGAGTTTGAAGTTTCTTAGTTCTTGTTTACTTAGGTAATATTATATCTTTCTGGAGTCTTTGATGGAGTTAAGAATAGTTAGTTATAGTTATAGTTTTCCTTAGTTATGATAAAGATTATTGTAACTTTTACTTGATAACTGTTTTGTTATATGTAATTTTGCTATGTTAAAGTTAAAGCCTTTTTTTTGTTTAAACCGAAAAAGGGGAAATGATGGAGGAAGGTCATTGGCTAATAAAGGAACTGCCCTGGCCCATTTTATTGGTTAGAGGATAGGTGGGAGGAGAAAACAGGACAGAACACTGGGAGGAAGAGGAAGTGAGGTCAGAGTCTCGACAGCTTTCCTCTCAGGAGCAGACACCTGAGAGAGACGCCATGCCCCGCTCCCGGCATGAAGCTCCGACCCAGGATGGACTAGGCTAGAATCTTCCCGGTAAGACCGGTTCTCACAGATTATTAGAGATGGGTTGATCGGGATAACAGGATTAGCCAGTAAGGGCTAGGGCTAAAGGGCCAAGCAGTGATTAAAAGAATACAGTGTCTGTGTAATTATTTTGGGCATAAGCTAGCCTGGCAGGCGGCCGGGGGAGCTGAGAACGCAGCCCTGCCGCCCCTATTACTTCATCCAGTGGCACGCCTCCTCCAACAAGGCTACACGACCCTGATCCTTCCTAAACAGTCTACAGCTGGGAACCAAACAATATATGGGAGTCATTCTTCTTCAAACCACCATGGGAAGCGTGTGATAGATTTGCATTCTGATGGAAGGATATCAATATGGGTGGTGCTAGGCTTGGGTTGTCTCAGGCTATATAGAAAAACCTCTGAACTGTCTGCTCCATTTTGTTGTGAGCCAGAAAACTCTCCTAAAACATAAACTTTAAGTTTAGGAGGATAGTTCAATGGCATCATGCTTGTCTAGCATATAGTTCAGTCCCCAGCACGGGGTTGTGGGAGAGCTCAGAGCGATTGTGCACATAATCCTAGGTATTCAAGATACCAAGGCAGAAGGATTACTTGAGCCCTGGAGAAGTCAGTCTAGACAATGCAAGACTCTCACTTAAAACCAAACAATGATGAGATTGAATAGTGTTCCTAACCACTGTGCCAGAGCTACCTTTAGCTCTCTGAACTGCAGCTCAGAGAAGTGAATAAGTTAGGGGGCCACTTATATCTTGGCTCATACAAACATCCAGGAAGCAATTGGCTACAAAATCCGCATGTAAGAGTGCGCCCTCTATTGGAGGGGTGAAGAAACATCATCACAGTCCTGGTAGGGTAGCACTGGGAGAAATTAGGTTTAGTCAGAACTCTACAAACCCAATCCACAGGCTCTTCCTTCAGGGCCTAGTGTGAGAAATTCCTCTGATTCTCAAAACAGATCTGTGCTTTCGGAGTGCAGCCCTAGGTGCTTTGCAGAGGCAAAAGAGGCCTCGCTGGTGTGGCTTGTTGAAGACACCAACCTGTGGGCTGTACACGCCAGCCACATAGAAACTGTGTCAGAAGACATCCTGCCCTCAGGCTGAGTCCACCATGAGGGGAAACATTTCGTGATGAAAACATGCTTTCCCTTTTCCTCCTGTTAGTGGTAGTTATGAACATTACATTTTTTTCTTAAACTTGCAATCCAAAGGTACCTAAGTATGTCATCATAAATGGAAAAATAGGGGACAGAAATCACATAGGGATAGGTTTTCCACACTTGTTTTTGTGTGAATGTTTAATATTAATGCAAGATGTAAAAATGTTAATGTAAGTCAATGTTTCTGTGAACCAGGTTCTAAAAATGTAATAAAATTGTAAATAGGCGGCGGAGAGGCACGGTGTCCAGACATGGCGGAGAGGTGTAGCGTCCAGATACAGCGGAGAGGCACCGCAATCAGGAAGAGGCTTTAGGGGACCAGCGCAGGGGACTGGCGGGGACCTGCGCGGAGGAAGACACAAGCAGCAGGGACAGGCGTGCAATAACGAGAGCAAATCGCCCTACTACAATTAAATCAAAGAGGTAGGCCTTTTCTTGGTGAGGTCACTGGCAAACGGGGAGCCTGGTCCTGTCCTGAAGACCCTTCGGAGGGGTGAGTGAGTTCTTGGCCTGCGGCAGGAACCAGGAAACAGAGCGAGGGCATTTTGTAAGCGGAGGCCTTGGCCAGCAGGGAAACCTGATCCAGTTATTAAAAGACCCATTAGATAGGATCAATAGGAGGAGATGGGCAGGCGCCAAGGCAAGAATTCACCCAATAATCTGAAAAACAACATGAAAACACCAGAACCCAATGATCTTACAACAGAAGTATTTGAACACCCTAACACAGAAGAAGTGGAAAAAATTGACTTTATGAAAGCAATAGAGTCCCTTAAACAACATGTAAAAAATGCCCTTATAGAAATGGATGAGAAGTATAACAAAAAGTTTGAAGAAATGAGTAAATACGTACATGATACCCTGGGAAACCAAGAAAAAAATGATCAAACAGGTAATGGAAACAGTTCAAGAATTGAAAACTGAAATGAAGGCAAGGAAGAAAATACAAAATGAGGACCAGCTGGATATGGAAAATCTAGGTCAACGAGCAGAGTCTACAGAAACAAGCATAATCAATAGAATACAAGAGATAGAAGAAAGAATCTCAGATTCTGAAGACACCATAGAGAAAATAAACGAACAGATCAAAGAAAACAGCAAAGCCAACAAATTCTCAACACAAAACATTCAGGAAATATGGACACAATAAAAAGACCAAACCTAAAAAAGAGAAAAGAAAAAAGACCAAACCTAAGAATAATAGGAATAGAAGAAAGAGAAGAGTCACATCTCAAAGGCCCAGAAAATATTTTTAACAAAATTATGGAAGAAAACTTTCCCAACATAAAGAAAGATATTCATGGCCGGGCGGTGGTGGCACACGCCTTTAATCCCAGCACTCGGGAGGCAGAGGCAGGCGGATCTCTGTGAGTTCAAGACCAGCCTGGTCTACAGAGCGAGTTCCAGGACAGGCTCCAAAGCCACAGAGAAACCCTGTCTCGAAAAACCAAAAAAAAAAAAAAAGAAAGATATTCATTTAAATATTCAAGAAGCATACAGAACACCAAACAGACTGGATCAAAGAAAAACATCTCCTCGCCATATAATAATCAAAACACAAAATATACAGGTTAAAGAAAGAATATTAAGAGCTGCAAAGGAAAAAGGGCAAGTAACTTATAAAGGTAAACCAATCAGACTTACACCTGACTTCTCTATGGAAACCATGAAAGCCAGAAGGTCCTGGATAGATGTACTGCAGAAGCTAAGAGACCATGGATACAAACCCAAACTACTATACCCAGCCAAGCTATCGTTCACTATCAATGGAGAAAACAAGACATTCCAGGATAAGAACAAATTTAAACAATACGTAGCCACAAATCCAGCCCTACAGAAAGTAATAGAAGGAAAATTGCAACCCAAGGAATCCAACACTGCCAACACTGCCTACAATAACTCAGGCATCTAGCGACCCTTCACCAGCACATCTCAAAGAAGGGAGACACACAATCTCTACTACCAAAACCAATAAGAATAACCGGAGTAAACAACCACTGGTCATTAATATCACTTAATATTAATGGGCTCAATTCACCTATAAAAGGGCACAGGCTAAGAGATTGGATACGAAAACAGGATCCAACATTCTGCTGTTTGCAAGAAACACATCTCAACCACAAAGACAGGCACCTACTCAGAGTAAAGGGTTGGGAAAAGGTCTTTCAAGCAAATGGTCCTAAGAAAAAAGCAGGTGTGGCCATACTAATTTCTAACAAAACTGACTTCAAACTAAAATCAATCAGAAGAGACCGAGAAGAACACTTTATACTCATAACAGGAACAATTCATCAGGAGGACGTCTCAATCCTGAATATCTACGCCCCTAATATAAAAGAAATATTACTATAACTCAAGGCAGACATCAAACCACACACACTAGTAGTAGGAGACTTCAACACACTTCTCTCTCCAAGGGACAGGTCAATCAGACAGAAACCTAATAGAGAATTAAGAGAATTATTGGAGGTAATGAAGCAATTGGACTTAACAGACATCTATAGAACATTCCACCCAAATAGGAAAGAATATACCTTCGTCTCTGCAGCTCACGGAACCTTCTCAAAAATTGACCACATACTTGGAAACAAAGGAAACCTCCACAGATACAAAAAAATATCAGTGTTCACCTGTGTCCTATCTGATCACCATGGATTAAAGTTAGAAGGCAACAACAATGCTACCCACAGAAAGCCGACAAACTCATGGAAACTGAACAGTCAACTACTGAACCACACCTGGGTCAAGGAAGAAATTAAGAAAGAAATTAAAGTCTTCCTTGAATTTAATGAAACTAAAGAGACAACATACTCAAACCTATGGGACACAATGAAAGCAGTGCTAAGAGGAAAATTCATAGCACTAAGTGCCCACTTAAAGAAAACGGAGAATGCATATATTGGGGACTTAACAACACACCTGAAAGCTCTAGAAAAAAAAGAAGCAGACGCGCCCAGGAGAAGTAGAAGACTGGAAATAATAAAACTGAGGGTGAAAATCAACAAAATAGAAACACAGAAAACAGTCCAAAGAATCAATGAAACAAAAAGCTGGTTCTTGGAGAAAATCAACAAGATCGACAAACCCCTATCCAAACTAATTAAACGACTGAGAGAGAACACGCAAATAAATAAGATCAGAAATGAAAAGGGGGACATAACCACAGACACAGAGGAAATTCAGAGAATCATTAGATCTTACTACAAAAGCCTGTATGCCACAAAACTGGAAAATACAAAAGAAATGGACATTTTTTAAAAATAAGTACCATATACCAAAGCTAAACCAAGACCAGGTGAATGATCTAAATAGACCTGTTACTCGTGAAGAATTAGAAACGGTTATCAAAAATCTCCCTTTGAAAAAAAGCCCAGGACCAGATGGTTTCAATGCAGAATTCTACCAGAACTTCCAAGAAGAACTAATACCTATACTCCTTAATGTATTTCACAATATAGAAACAGAAGAGTCTTTGCCAAATTCCTTTTATGAAGCTACAGTTACCCTGATACCAAAACCACACAAAGACCCAACCAAGAAAGAGAATTACAGGCCTATCTCACTCATGAATATCGACGCAAAAATTCTCAATAAAATACTGGCAAACCAAATCCAAGAACACATTAGAAAAATTATCCATTATGATCAAGTAGGCTTCATCCCAGAGATGCAGGGCTGGTTCAACATACACAAATCTATCAATATAATCCACCATATAAATAAACTGAAAGAAAAAAACCATATGATCATTTCATTAGATGCTGAAAAAGCATTCGACAAAATTCAACACCCCTTTATGATAAAGGTCTTGGAGAGAATAGGGATACAAGGGTCCTACCTAAATATAATAAAAGCTATTTACAGCAAGCCGACAGCTAACATTAAATTAAACAGAGAAAAACTCAAAGCCATCCCACTAAAATCAGGAACAAGACAAGGATGTCCACTCTCTCCATACCTCTTCAATATAGTGCTTGAAGTTCTAGCAATAGCAATAACACAACATAAGGAGATCAAGGGGATTCATATTGGAAAGGAAGAAGTTAAGCTTTCGTTATTTGCAGATGATATGATAGTATACATGAGTGACCCCAAAAATTCTACCAAAGAACTCCTACAGCTGATAAACACCTTTAGTAATGTGGCAGGATACAAGATCAACTCCAAAAAATCAGTGGCCTTCCTATACACTAAGGATAAGGAAGCAGAGAGGGAAATCAGAGAAGCATCACCTTTCACGATAGCCACAAATAGCATAAAATATTTTGGGGTAACTCTGACCAAGGAAGTGAAAGATCTATTTGACAAGAACTATAAGGCATTGAAGAAAGAAATTGAAGAGGACACCAGAAAATGGAAGGACCTCCCTTGCTCTTGGATTGGGAGGATCAACATAGTAAAAATGGCAATTCTACCAAAAGCAATCTATAGATTCAATGCAATCCCCATCAAAATCCCATCAAAATTCTTCACAGATCTGGAGAAGACAATAATCAACTTTATATGGAAAAACAAAAAACCCAGGATAGCCAAAACAATCTTATACAATAAAGGATTGTCTGGAGGCATTACCATCCCTGACTTCAAACTCTATTACAGAGCTACAGTATTGAAAACAGCTTGGTATTGGCATAAAATCAGAGAAGTCGACCAATAGAATTGAATAGAAGACCCTGACTTTAACCCACAAACCTATGAACACCTGATTTTCAATAAAGGAGTTAAAAGTATACAATGGAAAAAAGAGAGCATCTTCAACAAATTGTGCTGGCAAAACTGGATGTCAACCTGTACAAGAATGAAAATAGATCCATATCTATCACCATGCACAAAACTCAAGCCCAAATGGATTAAAGACCTCAATATCAGTCTGAACACATTGAACCTGATAGAAGAGAAAGTGGGAAGTACTCTACAGCACATGGGCACAGGAGACCACTTCCTACGTATAACCCCAGCAGCACAGACACTAAGGGCATCATTGAATAAATGGGACCTCCTGAGACTGAGAAGCTTCTGTAAAGCAAAGGACACTGTCACTAAGACAAAAAGGCAACCCACTTACTGGGAGAAGATCTTCACCAACTCCGCAACTGACAAAGGTCTGATCTCCAAAATATATAAAGAACTCAAGAAACTAGACCGTAAAAGGCTAATCAACCCAATTATAAAATGGGGCACTGAGCTGAACAGAGAATTCTCAACAGAAGAACTTCAAATGGCCAAAAGACACTTAAGGTCATGCTCAAC